TTTTTTTTTTTTTTTTTACAGTCCCAGTTATTTTAAAATACTGTAGATAAAGGCGAGTTTCCAGACGGCCGAACACAATTTTGTGCAAGTTGAATGGATTGTCCTGTTCATCACCCAGGAAAAATTAAGAAATTAGTTGCAATGAAATTTTTTTTGCACATCTTTTTAACAGCAGCGTTAGTAATTGTTCAGGCTGCTGTATCGCAGCTTGTTTGTTTTTGTTTTGTTTTTCTCTGATTTAGAATTAGATCAGCTAAGACATTATATAAATTTCACACAACACTCAATTCAATTCAAAAACACTTTATTGCTGTAACTCTTATTAACTAGAGGCTCTTAAAAGACTTGTTGCAGATTGTGACCGCCGTGGGCAGGAAGGATCTCCTGTAGCGGTCTGTGTTACAGCGAAGTTGAAGAAACCTCTGACTGAATTAGGCGACATCTGTCCTGCAGGCTGCATGTATCACCCGGCGGAGCTCTACTCTGGCCGCAACACATGGGACCCCTACCCAGCTGGAGGGCCTAACAGAGGACAATGGGCGCCTGTAAACGGTCGCCCCTGGAGCCACCCACAAAGGTCAGCTGCACAACTCCTGCACAAAATGTTTTAACATTTTATCCTCGAATCAATAAGTGCTAAATGTGTGTATTTAAAGGTGCGACAGATCGGTCTCAGCAGATAAACCCACGAAAACTAATGCCCACTCGCGAGTGAAGAAGTGAGATTCTGTGCATTAAATTTGAAATGCCCGTGGTGTTGCACACCACTCTTCTGAATTACGTCGCTGTGGTTCTGCTAATTTCAAAACGTCTCACTTACTGCAAGCAAGCACAAACCGTTCCCTCGCAGCATCCGCACCGTATCAGCGCAAAACAAGACGAAACATTTACTTCAGGAGAGGAACCACCGTGTCAGCGTTTAAATAGCAAACAATGTGTTTGATTCCTTTTGGCATTTCTAGTGCAAGGTTGTTTTTTTTTTAAATACTTTTGTCTCCAGTATGTTTGAAATTGTCTTCGTCACGCTTGATAAAGACCACAAAGTAACTTTCATAATCCTCCAAGAACAAGAGTTAAACAGGGGCTTCTTCCAGGGATAACATTCCTCATTATGTATAATAGTGCACGACTTTGTTTGAGCATGAATAAAACTTTCACAATGTTAGAGGGGGTGGGGGGGGGGTTACTCACCTGCTTAAACAAAGAATAAGTCATGCAGCTGCAAAGAACAATCAATGTTCTCCAAAATAAAAAACAAATACAGAAACCACCATGCTGTGTCCCTGGGACATAGAGATCAGTATAGGCTGTGCTTACTGTGGCTACTAGGATGAAGAGACAGAAAGAAGTGCGCTCATTTTCATCTTGTTGCTAGGAGTGGAGGAAATTATGAGGCGTTCATGTGCAGTTGGAATGCAAAATATATTTAGCAAGCCATCAAAGGGAAGCCCTGGCATCACATTTAGCGATGAGGACGATGGGGAATAAGCTCAAGGCGAAACTTATAAAGTTGACATGATAAAAGATGGAGTCACAGCTGTACTAATAAAAAACAAAACAAGTCAAAGCTTGAAAGACTTTGTTGAACTTCTAATTGGAGGAAAGCAGGAAAGAAAGCGGTAGGGGGTTTCCAGCACTAAAAGCGCAGTCGCATCATGCTTGCCTTCTCGGTGAAGTTAGGTGTTCAGCATTTCCAACAATCCGGTCGTCGCCTGAAAGTCTCGGAAATCCTGGAGGTCGCAGGTCAATTTCAAGTGGGATCAAACTCAAAATCAGAGAACACCTTTAATATTGGAATCAAAATGAAAGTAACTGAACCATGAATTAAATCAATATAATATAAGGAACATAAGTTCAGCCAAATCTTCAAGCTGGACCATCTGACAGGGGGGCATTGAATGGATATTTGTCTAGGGTGTAAAAGGTTGCATTTATGTTTTGTTGTTCAAAATGTTCACGAATTCACAATGTCCCCTTTATGTAAATACACAAAGAAAGGCAAAAGTAAAAGGTTACTGTGCTGTGCAACACCATGCTTTTAATGTGTTGTACTGCATGCCTATTTTGTAAATCCGTACATAATTTTCTTTTCTGCCTCACCTAACCGTTCCTAGTCTGTGTTTATGACTTCCTCTGTTACTTACTCAGACGTATATCAACATGGACACGCCATTAAATGTTTGTATTTGCCTTTTGGACTGCACGGCAAAACCCAGGCAGGCTTTGGGTAGCTGTGCTGATTGAAAGAAGAGCCGAGAGCAACCCTCATTGTCACAGTGTCGCCGTTGCTTTAAGAGCTCCAAAGTAAGAGTTTAGAGTAAACAGAAGCTGATGAGGGAAGGCATTTTACCTGAACCAGCAGTCAAGGCCAATTTTAGATGAGCACCGCTTCACGTGGCTGACTGATTAACTGAAACTCTGATGAGCATATTCAGGGAAATCTCTCTTTCCGGCGGCAGCAGCTGTGTTGATAAACTCGATGTCATGTTCAAAAGACAGAAGTGATGAATGAGACTGTAGCATCGTCAACTGGCTGCTGCATCAGTAAAAAGAAGCCGAGGTGAGAGTTGTGGTGTGTTTCTTTAAGGCGTTCAGTGGGATCAGTGTGTCCTTTGATGCATTAATTTAAGGTACTGTACCTTTAAAAACTGAGCTTAAAGACCGTTGCTTTAATCTGACAAACATATTCAACAAACTAGACCTCGAATTTGTTGAATATGTCTATGCGCTTGTAAATTCATTGCAAAACCACAAAAAATTAGCAAGTTTTTTTGGTCTAGTTTCTAGTGCAAATGACTTGGTACATTTGCACAATAAAAAAAATAGAGTAAATGGAAGGCAGGAGTGGCTTATGTAAAGATCTTCAGCTGCTATTTAAACTATTTCCAGGGTCTAAACAGTAAGGACAGGTCATATTAGTCTTAAGAGGGACATAACCGTAAAAGGCTTTAATAGTCAATGTCAGAAATGTAAAGGAAATTCTAAAATTCACCTTTTTCAGATAAGCTAAGTCGCCATACTATGATTGATTTTCTGTGTTTTCACTCTACAGATACCAAGAAGGACGTAACCAGTCGCATCATTCACTGTCAAGTCATCTGTATAACAGGCGAGTGAAACAATGTATCAATGACACACTGATGAATATCGATGATAACGTAGTGGCGTGTGTCTTACAAAAGGGCAAAGACGAGGAAACTTCTTTGTAATCAACAGTTGAAAATGCAATGCCAACATCTGGTTTGAACTCACATTTATGTAGCAGAACTGTAAAAAAAACTATCTGCCACTTGTTGACTTCAGCTCTGTTTGGTTGTTTTTCCTCTTAGGGGGAACAGAACAGTCAACCATGTCCAGGATAAGGGCATCTCAAAGGGCCATAGACATCCGCAAAGAATTTGGGATGGTAAAGAGCAGCAATTTGAGGCCCAGAGCTGGCATCACAACTCTTCACGCTCGTTCCCCAACCAAAGCGGTAACAGTTATCTAACTGGCCCCGGACCACGCTATGTCGACTGGCAGAACAATGTCAGCAACAATCTGGTGAGCACCGACGACTGGGGAAAGCCTATGTTTTGTATTTACAGTTCTTTCCCTGTTTCTGTTAGCAAGGGCATCCTCGCTTGAACCGCGACAGCAGAGAGTTGCAGTCCCCGATGGACAGATGGGGTGCGTCGGACCACCACAGAGGCTTCGCAGGCAGAATGGCCGACAACAGGCACGGACCCTGGAAACGTCCCACCCCTCACCAGCGGAGAGAGCAGCTGCCTCATCACAGTCCACCCCTTCAGCACCATCTATCTTCGAGGAATGGATGTCCGGCTAAAAGGAAAAGGGACTCTGACCCAGATCAAGTAATTAGAACAAAGTTGTTTTTTAGTTGTTGATTAATGTCTCCCATTCATGAGTTTCTTTATTTATAAGAAACATTACCCTCTGTTGGTGAAATCCAGTATTGTATGATAGGGGAAATTATGTCTCTATGTACAGGCGTCTCATCTTGGATCGAGGCATTTATCTCCACCTCCTCATGCCCCATCATCGCCCAGCCACTACCGTTGCAACCAAGATGACAGAGCGGGTCCCTGCCATCGCTCTGAACACAGGACCTCAGCATCTCATCAACAGGTAAACCAGCTCAGTCAAAAAAAAACCCAGAAAAACAACTAAACCTAGAACTAGTGCCACTGAAATCAATTCTGAAACGCTCCAGGAAACCTCGGAACCGCGAACGGGAGGCCATGGCGCTGGTGACTCGGAACCTCCCAGCCAGAGTCTCCTCAGCAGACCACCACATTATGGTAACAAAGGGAAGGTCGAAGGGAAAATCTCAGTTTCACCAGCAGACCACACCCGTGTGCCTTACAGCCAGCAAAATCATCACTACCACCATCAGCGGCACACAAGCCACCAGAAAGTTCCACAGCACAACAAACCACCACGACCCCTGGAGGAGAAGGACTTGCAGAGCCATCATCACAAGCAAAGCACAGTAAGAGACAAACATTTAAAATCCACCTTACAGTTCCGAGAACGCAGCACACAATTTGCTCAACAATTAACGCTGAATCGAAACTTTTACGTTTCAGGAACAGAAGCGGTCTCATTCAAGGTTCAATTCAAGGGATTCAACGCTGTGCAAAAACTCTGCTGCAGAGTTTTCCCCCAGTTCGACCCCTCTCTGCAGCCCTAAAGATGGCCGTTCCACTTCCAGCAGTCCTGGAGCTCCCTCCAGCCCCTCCTCATTCGCCGTGTCCAGTTGCAGGAGAGATTCAGCAGACATTCACCCACGCCTTCCGACTCTCAGTGAACAGCAGAAGTCTCTAGCAGGCCCCGGTCACGTCCAGAGACCCGGCCTGACGTCCGCCACATGCCATACGTCTCACTCTGGCTCAAAGTCCAGGTTTTCAGACCCCAAACACAGGAAAAACTCAGTCTGTTCACGACAATCTCCTGTTGCCAGGCCGAGGACAAGCAAGCCCGAGAAGTGGACTGAGGAGCTCAGAAAAACTGAGATCAAACCGAAGGATAAGCTCATTAAAAAACTGAAAATGGGTGATTTTGCGAATGGAAATAACGAGGAAAGGAAAAGAAGGAAGAAAAAAGAAGAGAAAAGCCTAGATGAAAGGAATAGGAAGAGAGATAAAGCAATTAAGAAAGATAGAAAATTGCGCTTGAAATTAAAAAAAATGAAGAAGGAAAAGCTTTCTTCCATCGACGCTTTCCCCTGTCCGGGAGAGGCCAAACTGGACGAAACGGAGACGCCATCTTTGTCGGGAGTTGATCAAAGCCAGTCACTCCGAAGACACAAAACCCGGAAAAGAAGTGAAAAGGTCAAAAGAACATTGGACAAGCCATCCACTTCCAATTCTAACTCTACTTCCCAGTCCCCAACTTCAAAGTACAAGCAAATCCCTGAAGGGAGCAGCATTCCCACAGAACTACCAGCAAACGAACACCCCACAGAATCTCTAGCCGACTTTGAAAGTCTCCATCAGACCAGTAATGTCACATCGCATTCAGGAGATGGAGCAAACATCAACTCTGGTAAAGCATTCCTTTCAATCTTCCGTAAAGCCTCTGTACCTCTCAGTACCACGTGCTCGGCTGGGTCAGACCAGGTGGTCCACAACAAAAACGAGAAGAAGGTGGGAGTTCTCAGTGCGCCAGACCTTCAGCCCGAGGCTGTGCTGGGAAATCTCAGCGACACGGGAGACAACCATGCAAACACTCCTCCTGTGCTCAGCTGGCAGGGCTCCCCCGTTTCAGATTTTGAAGAAGACGAGGAAGAGCTGAAAAAGGGTGTAATCAGCCGACCTGTTCTCCAGCCCAGTCCCACTCAGTGCTTATCTCCTCTCCCTGCAGATAGTGAAAGCAACGGCGAAACGGATACTTGCGCTGGCGAACCGGACGGTTACTCTCTCGACAGCCCAACTGAGTTCTGCGAGCCGCCTTGTGCAATCAAAGAAGATAGTGAGGAAGACAAAGAAGAGCAGGAGAATGCAAGTAGCAAAGCAACGGGCTTGCTCCTGCATGACCTCGATCAACACAAAGCTGGTTTGGATGATGTCTTCAAGAGCCTGGCCACCTTCCTCGAAGGCCAGAGAGCGTCATGTCGCGGGGGTCCTTTCGGTGGGGCCACTTCAAGAGGGGTAAAGCATTCATCATCTCTCACAGTGGCATCCCAGATTCACTGTGACGAGAATCAGGATCTTTGCCATAAATCATCTCCTACAGCCTTCTCGGAGCCTAATAGTCAGTCGCCTCCTGACTCTACCTCAGACTCGCTTTTGAAATCCCAAAGTCTGCCATTTCGAAAAGATTCAGTCCCTCATCCCAAGGCGCAGGAGAATCAGGAAGAAGCTGAGAGTTGTTCAGATGACAACGGGGTGGGAAAGAATAAGGAGAACCTTCTGGAGAGAACGGATTCCTCCCTTCTGGAGGGATCGTTGAGTGCGGAACTGAGAGTGACCACAACTCATACTGCCTCTTTCACCGGTGTCATTACCGTCTCCACCAAGGACGGGAGAGAAAACAGGAAAGAATCCAAGCGGACTGCTATGAAAAGGAAGAGAAAGCATAAGGACGGCGGAAGAGAAGACATCATAAAGATAAAGGTCAATAAAAAAGAAAGGAAGAGCAAAAATAAAGCTAATCCTTCAAAGGATGTGCACAAGAGGGGCATTTCATCCTCCGTATCTGTCATCTCCAAAAGCTCCACCAGACCTCTCGCAGACAGCATGAAAGGCCAGATTCCTCAGGAAAATCAAATGCCATATCGTAAAGACATCAAGAGAGTCAAACTGGACACCGGGGACGCTGATCTGAAGGTGGAGGTCGGTGTGTTAGGAAAGAAGATGACCCCAGACAACAACGCCTCAAACACAGGAACCTCAGCTGCAAGAATCAAAGCATCAGGTCAGTCAGGTGCCATCACACCAGCAAGCAAACCTCCCTGCTCCAAAGGTCCAGTGGATCCCTTGAAACTGAAAGCACTGTCCATGGGCTTGTCCAAGGAGCTGAAGGTCGTGCTGATTAAAATGGACAGTGCCGGGAGACAAACATTTAACATATCGGAGCTGGAGGAACCCAGGATCCCAATGTCGGAGCTCAGCATCGTAAACACAGCAGCTGAAGTGGTCAGAGCATGCAGGTGGGTGGTTTCATAAAGATCTAAATGCGCTGTTGACAATTTCCCCATCGCTGTCGTTTGTGTATATCTGATGTCCTGCTGTGCTTGCCTTAGGGGAGAAAGAGTGAAGGGGAAATTCAAGGAGTCGTACCTGCTTCCCTCGTTCTGTGTCAAACCCAAAATTGCCATCAACATCCCCATTCCACGGGAAAAGCTCAACCCACCCACACCAAGCATCTACGTGAGTGCTCAGTAATTATTATCCTTGTGGCATTGTCTTCTTATGACTCCAGAAATTGAAGGAAAAATGTAGGACCCACAAGCATGTTGTTTGAGTTAAACACAGCCTTGGAATAGCTTTGTGTTGTTTTTTTTTGTTTCATGTTTTCTGTCACTCGGTGTTTGATTTTGAGTTGACTCGTTCTTTGGTCCGGTTTTCGAATCACACATATTATTTTAGCACTACACTTTCTAGCTGTGATAAGATACAAAAGCGTCCCGGTTAGGTCTATGAAAATAACTCGGTTGAAAACACGTCCTGATGCACACAAACAAAAAACAAAAAACACTTTTAATTGTTTCCATGTGTGGGTTCCAGCATTTATAATTATACTCTTTTGCTTCTGCAGTTGGAGAGCAAGAGGGATGCCTTCTCTCCGGTTCTGCTCCAGTTCTGCACAGATTCCAAAAATGCTGTAACAGTCATCCGGGGCTTGGCCGGCTCCCTCCGCCTTAGTAGGTTTCGGCTCGTGCTCTGGTGCAATCCATTCTTTATGACTGGTAACTCGACAAGTACAGATAGATGGGAGATAGCTGCAGGCTTAAAACTCAGTAGTTTGAAGATTACTATTGCTTGAATATTTGTGTATCTTTGGTAATTAACCACAGTTTTTCCCCCCTATTTGTTTTCTGTAAGATCTTGGTCTGTTCTCCACCAAGTCGCTGGTGGAGGCCAATTCAGACCACGCCGTGGAAGTGAGAACTCAGGTCCAACAGCCTGCTGACGAGAACTGGAACCTAAACGGCTCCGCACAAACCTGGCCCTGTGAAAGCAGTCGATCGCACACCACCATTGCCAAATATGCCCAGTACCAGGCCTCCAGTTTCCAAGAGAGCCTGGAGGTAGATATTGTCTTCTGTAGTATTAAGCTGTTATTTCAATACAGTTAGAAAAACATGCTCAGCTACTGTGCTGAGCATGTAGGAGTTTAAAAAGTTACCAGTGAGATTTCTTGATCTTAAAAGCCGGTCCTTGATTTTCTTAGAGTGTGGGAATACTTGCGACAAGTCTTACTTAGCAAGCATATGCTGTTGCATGTGAAAAGCAAGCCAGAAGGACATATATGTCCTTCCAAAGATATTGACCCACGCTGACACCAGAGAACTTAATTTTGGTCTCATCTGAACCAAAATTTCGATCTTTCGAAGTCTGAATTTTCACTCAAAAGCCCAAAGTGGACCTTTACATGTGCCCTCTGTAGAAGAGGGGAGCAAGACTTAAATCTTTGTGTGGTGTGGCCAATGGTTTCCTTGCAGACCTTTAACAGGCTCCTGCTGTGGAGTTGTGGCCTTGTCCCTTACCCTTGCATGAGCTCCAGGCTGAGGCTGATTGATGGTCATTTAACATTTTTCCATTCACCAAGATGCTCTTTTAGCCCATTCCAACCTTGCTTACCTCTACAGAAAGACCAGGAGTTGTACTTTTAATAGCTTGTTGGTGTTATTAAATGGTGAACGGAAAGTTAGAGTGAAGGAAAGTTAACAATAGCCCGTAATATACAGAAGGAGAAGAATGTGAGAATGAATGAAATCTGTGTATCACTTAAGCACATAACCAAACTGAGGAAGCCCCAGTTCTGCTGGGTTTTTAGTCGATCAAATAAGTTTTGGACTCTGTGACTGAATGTGAATCAACTGGTTGGTTTTCTGTAATAATTTTTTTTTCAGGTTGATTTTCTGTTTCTACACAAAGCTGCTATTAGATGCTGTTTGTTTAATTTAACACAGAAGTAAGAAATTCTGATCCTGATTTAGTTAGAAACTTTGTTCCTCTGCAAAACAAGCAGTTTCAATCCATTTGTGAAATCCTGCCCTAATCTCCACGTCACTTTTTTTGTTGATGTTTTAAAGGAGGAGAAAGAAAGTGAGAATGAGGAGGAGGAAGAAGAAGATAAGACATCAGACACATTAGCGACCACAAAAGCTGCTCTGACTTTACCCAACAGCAAAGTCAGTCCCACTTCAATGACAAATAAAGCCAACTCCACTTCTTCCAGCAAAGCCCAGTTGGCTAATCCCACCGGCACTCCCAGGTAAGCAAACAGTTCTGGTCTGTCTGTGTAAAGAAATCCCTGCTCAGCTGAGTAAACAACATCTCAGATTTCCCTTTTCCCCCTCTACAGCCCAGAGCAGAAAACAGTGGGAAAGATCATTAAATTCGGGACCAACATTGATCTCTCTGACCCTAAAAGGTGAGGAAGAGTTTTCAAATCCAGCCAGTCTCCTGGTGGATTGGTGCTACATCGGACTATTAACCGTGATTACATATGTACGTCATCTTTAAACCAAGGTGGAAGCCCCAGCTGCAGGAGCTTCTGAAGCTCCCAGCTTTCATGCGAGTGGAATCCAGCAACAACATGCTCAGTCTGGTCGGTCACACCATCCTGGGGATGAACTCCGTGCAGCTGTACATGAAGGTTCCCGGCAGCCGAACTCCCGGTCAGTGTGTGTCAGACCTGAAAGTCACTTCTGATTTTAACAGATGAATTAAGACATCGACTGACTGGGGACTTTTAATGCTCGACCAGCTCTAACCGGTGATTGGAAACTCAAAAACACTGATCAGTGAATCCGATATACTGTATAACTCCACAAGCAAATCGAAACCAACACTCCGCAGTGTGGAAGTTGTTAATGCGTGAAGAAGATTCAGTCTGTATCAACGACACAGATCAATTTATAGAAACAACAAGCGACGAAGGAAACTTCAAGTAGGGAAAATGACTGGAGTTTACAAACGAATAAATAAGTTCCTATTTATTTTGAGCAGAAGTTGCACAAAGACACTGATGAGCTGTAACCCGCCTTGTAAAGGAGAAAAATGTGTCATTTCTAGTTGGGTTTCAATGACGCAAAGAGACAGCTAGACTGTTGTTTCACAAGTCTTTTACTTGTTGTTTATGAAGACGGATACTTTTTAATTTTCTTTGCAAACTAGACAAAAAAAAAGTTTGTATTTTCAAACTTTCAGGAGAAGTCATAATGTGCTTTAATCAAAATCGCCAGGTCAGAACCTCACGAAGCCGTTGACTGGAAATTGGCCTGATAAGTGCTGTGTCTCTAGATTTTTAGATATTACCAAGTCAATAAACGGCTTTTACTGTTCGCCAGGGCATCAAGAGAACAACAACTTCTGCTCTGTCAACATCAATATCGGGCCCGGAGATTGTGAGTGGTTTGCAGTACACGAACACTACTGGGACGCCATAAACAAATTCTGCGACAAGTGAGTATAAAATTCAATCAGCAGATGTAGCAACACTACCAGAAGTTTAATTGTCTGTCTTGTTGACTTCTTCCCACAGACATGGAGTCGACTACCTTACGGGGTCCTGGTGGCCAGTGCTGGAGGATCTCTACAGCTCCAACATCCCTGTGTACCGCTTCATCCAGAGACCCGGAGATCTGGTGTGGATCAACGCCGGAACCGTTCACTGGGTTCAAGCCGTGGGCTGGTGCAACAACATAGCCTGGAACGTGGGGCCGCTCAATGGTAATTTATTCATTTTAAAAGAAGGAAGAGTTTGCAAAACTGTTAATTTGAACATCTTCTTAACAACTGTTAACAATTATTTTTTTTGTTTCTGCAGCATACCAGTATCAGCTCGCTCTGGAGCGCTTTGAGTGGAACGAGGTGAAGAAAGTCAAGTCGATCGTTCCCATGATCCACGTTTCGTGGAACGTGGCTCGTACCCTCAAGATCACGGACAAGGACACCTACAAGATGATCAAGTAAAAAGTTTACCGCTGTCAATCTATCTGGAGGGTGGGTGAGCGTTTGTTCATCGTCCGCTCCATCTTTCTGCTCAGACACTGCCTCATGCAGTCTATGAAGCACATCCAGATTCTGAGAGACCAGCTGGTGGCTGCAGGAAAGAAAATCTTTTACCAGAGCCGCGTGAAGGATGAGCCCGCCTACTACTGCAACGAGTGTGATGTGAGTCCCTGTCGCGGTCATTTATTGTAAAGGGATGGCTCAAGGCTTTTGAAGTGATGTTCTGCTAAAAAAAGTCAGTTAAGTCTTACCTATGGTGTGGAACTTTCTTTGCATCTTCGGTTTGTATAAGTTCATATCTTTTTTTTTAGTCCTGGAGGCTGACTGTCCATAACCAACAGTCCTAAACAATGCTAATCTCAACAATGTCATTGGATTTACGCAAATGCTTTTTTAGGAGCGTTCAAACCATTGTCATGTTTGCATTAGACAACTCAAACCACTCTGTAACTGCTGATTATTTGCATAGGATAGGTTCTTATCAAGTTATGAGAGCTAACAAAGCCCAAAATTTAGAAAATCATGATACATGGAAGCATAATTACTGAAGCACACATAGGAGAAAAGTGATGTAAAGAAAGGAAGTTATGCAAGCGAACGGCAACAACCAGTGGCAACGAAATGAAGGATGGCTAGGGTTTAGCTGAATAGTGAAGCTTAAATTCGGGGGAGGTTGATCACTGGAATGCAAAACAGGGGAGGAATTACTAACAGATTGCAGCTGTGTGAGAAAGTAGGCAGTGAGAGGGGGTGAACTGAGGAGTTTGGCTCGGGAGTGACACGAACTAAACATAAAAAACTCGAGACAGGTTGTAAGGAAACGCAAAGGCACTGGGAAAACAATGACCCAGTAAAAAAGAATAACACAAAAAACAAAGGGACTGGCTAAAGTCTATAAGGATCATGCCAGAAAGGTTGATCTGAATCCATAGCATGTCCGATGTTTCCGATCATCATATCTGTCTGATAAAAAAGTAAACTACGTAAAAAAAAAATTATTTGTGAAAACTGTTTCACGAAGTTTTTAGGTGGTGACCTTGAAGAAAAAATATTTACAGTGTGTTCACAATACATATTCGACACATTGTCGAATATGTATTGTGATATAGGTTTACAGAAAACTGAACCACAGATATATCAACTATAGTGTCCACTACCAACTAATTAGTCAGCTTATGCCAAAGAAAGTAGTCTTACACTGGCACAAGTGTGCTTTGGCTTTGAACTAGCAATTAGCTCTAGGAGCAACTAAACAACCAACCAATGTTGGTTTTGTAGTTGCTCCCAGCAGTAAACCTGCTAGTTTATTATTCACATAAACCACCAGGATATTTCAAAATAGCCGTTTTTTTGGTAGAAGTTAGCATTCTTCTCTGACTAGCTTTTAGCTTTAGCATCTGGGACCACTAATCTGGATTCATACCTGAGATATTAGCACCTCACTTTAACTATTCCTTTAATATTGACTTATATATATATATATATATATGTATATACATATATATATATATATATATATATATATATAATAGGTATAAAAACTCAGGTTTTTATACCTGAGTTTTAAACTCAGGTATAAAAACACACCTGAGTGCCTCTCCCATCCCTATGCAGGTGGAGGTGTTTAATCTGCTGTTAGTAACCAGTGAGAACAGCACTAAGAAGACCTACGTGGTGCACTGTGAGGACTGCGCTCGAGCTAAGAGCTCCTCTCTGGCGGGGGTGGTGGTGCTGGAACAGTATCGGATGGACGAGCTGATGAAGATCTACGACAGTTTCATGCTGGTCAGTATAACTTGTAAGAGAAAAAGGAAATAACAGAATTCCTCGTGACACTGATGCAATCGCAGATAAGTATCAGTGTCATGATTTCAATGCATTTCTGTGGTCATTTATAAATTTAATTACGACTGTCAAAAAAAAAAAGTTGGCAAATGGAGATAGGACCAACTTGGAAAAATGTTGTTCTAAACATTTGATATTTTCAGCGTTTCTTTCTTAACTGCAGCGACGAGTTATGGTTAAAAGTCTGACCCGCCTGTAAACTTCAAATAAAAACACAACTCTCATTTACTCGTCTTCTGTTTTGGCAGCAGCGTTACACAAAATCTCCAGTGTGATCTTTCAGATCAGTGTTTTCTTTGGCCAACTAACAATTTCAACGTCCAAATGGAGTCCTGATCCATGTCATTTTCCTATCTCTCTCTCGTCGTTTCCTGTCGTGTCTCAAGATGCATAATGAAAGCATCGAATACCAGCCCAAAACAGTCTCAGCTGACAGCGATGCCATGATTATCAAACCTTCATAAAAGCGCCAGTTCAAGCTAATTGTCCCACAGTGGTGGCGTACCGACTGTCTGGGGCGAATATCAAGAGTCGGCACGATGGTTTTCATTTTGCCACTTTGCAGTAAACTCCAGGGAAATTTACTAGCTGTTACGTAAAGATATTGTCGCTACTAGGCACACTGCCAAAACTGAGAAACGGGACTTTAAAAATCCAAATAAAAATATTCCTTAGAAGCTAAACAAAAACAAAGAATTTGCATTATACTGTGTATCCATCCATTCACTGATTAGTTACAAATTCTCTCGATTTCTCCTCATCTCCTGCATTTTTAAATCGTACACAATTCTTCTCATCAAAGCTTTCCACCACCTCAGATAAGACCGAAGACCTTTCGAATTAAGTCTGGGACAAGAATGAGCTCGTTAATGACTTGAAGGCAGTTGGGACTGTAGACACCAAGATGACCACTGGCAACAGCCTACCCTGTAATGAAGTGAAATCTGGCAGAGCCTGCGAGCTCCCACTGGTTAAAAAGGCGCATGTACCAGCCTGTCTTATTATAAAGGAATCAGAAAATGCCTGGGAGCGAGGGCTGTGATCAAATTGAGCTTTTTGCCATCAACTTGACCCGCTGTTCTTGTAAGAAGAGGAACGCACCATCTCTGTTGTTGAGGACAGAAACGGAGACGATAACATTTCAGTTCTTTCTGTTTTCCTGATAAGAGCGAATACAGATTTGAGGGCCCAGTGCGTGGATACGGTAATATGTTTGAGAACTGTCTGTCCTCAGCCAGGAAAATAAGGACGTTGACCCAAAACGTATCATCATTTCAAATGATCTATTCCTGAAGAAGAAAAAAAATTAATTGATGAAGCGGCAATGTCTTCTTCTACAACAATACTTTGAGTAAATATTAAGGAATGTGCCTCTTACCCAGTGGTCACTGGAGGTAGGCATCAACCCTTCAAGGATAAGCGGCCATAGACAGTGGAAGAGCTTATTAACAATCTGTAGGCAGCTGTGGCCACAATAACTACAAACATAAATGGGTCTTCTAGCATCCCAAAACACACTGTCCAAGTAACAGGGGAGTGTGTAAAGAAGAGTCGCAACACAGCGCAGTTTTAGCTCGGTCATGGAAAAAAGTCAGTAGAAAACGTTGAAATTTTACATCACCAAGAAGCAGCCAAGAAAGCTAAAGGATTTACTAAGTTTCTGTAGAGAAAATCTGGTTAAAATTACTTCCGAGATGTGCGAAAACCTGGTAATCAACTTTAAATACATTTGACTGATGTCCTGTCAACAAAGGTTTCTCCATCAAGTCAAGTTTTACTTGGAAATCAGCGGCTGACTTCATTTGACGACATGCAAATCATTTTTGCAGCTTTAAAGCGACATCCTTTGAGTCGTTGCTTGACGTGGCGTCTCTCTCCATATAGAGTGAAGCAAAGACTCGTAATTTCATTGAAATTAACCGACTTACGCCATCAGGAGTGGATCAAACTTCTGTTTTTTGTTTTTTTTTTTGTCTTTTACCCACTGTACTCTGCATTATGAACCAGCTGTGAAACATACTAATGCTCAACAAACAAATGTGTATCATTGCAGTTTTGAATACAATTCACGCAGGACAGTCTTTTGTCTTGGTTCTTCCGTCTGACCTCTCTCGTCTTTCCTCTCTCAGACGCCTCCACCTCCGTCAAAGTGAGGCCTCCTCCGCGTCGCACGTCTCTCAGCCATAACCAAAACTCTAACGGCAGCACAAAAGTTGTCTCCAAGGTGGCCAGCTTCAGCGAATGCTCTCTCAATCAGCCAATCACGTTTACTCAGTATTGTTTACATTACACAATAAGGTATGGATACTCACCCAATCCATCTCAATGCTCACCGTCTTCCCCCATACCAGCTGCAGATTGGACGTGTGTTTTGAAATAGAATGACTAGACTGGTTCTTCTCACGTAAAGCATTTAATATAAGTAAAAAAAAAAAAAAAGCAAACAAAAAAAAAACAAACAAACAATGTGAGCACTGATACCACTGAAAATCAGGTTATGTATGTTCAACGGACACTGCTGTGATTCAAAAGCGTCTAGTAGCCGGTTCTGTGTAATGATTCAGGTACTTTTATGCAAATTCAGTAGAACTTTTGTACACCAATCTAGTTATTCTATGTGTCCATGAATTTGCTGTGATTCTATTGTACCAGCAGGGGAAGTAGCTGATTGTCATGTTCGGCATGGTCTTGGTTTCTGTTCTTTTTTTTATTATTATTATTTTGTTGCAGTATTCAGGTAAACTGATATTTGTAATTCTTGTCTGTAAACTCTTTGAGGTGCTATACCAATCCTATTTATTCTTATTAGATACTTAACAAAGTTTTACCAGCCTAGAAGTACACCACATTGGCCTTGTGAACTGTATTTAGAGGTAATTAGCTTATAAAACACACACAAATTAGGTTTTTACGCAAGTACTAGCTCAAATTTAAATTTTTTTTCTCAGTTTCTCTAAAATACGGGTTTACTGGAGGACTAATATGGTTTCATTCTTAGTTGGAAATCGGCTGTGTTGAGGAGGGGAAAAAGAAAAAAATGTAACTTTTTATTGTGTCCGCTTTTTAACAAGTCTAGCAGAGATGACGGTTAAACGTGATTTGTACAAAAACATGCAGAGAAAACCGACGTACAGTTGTCATTTTTACTTTTGGAATGGGGAATTTAAGAGTCCCGGTTTTATACCTCTTTTGTTGAAATCTTATTGTTTGTAGGTAACAGAGAAAATAAAGAATTGTAAATTGTGAATGAACTTATGGGAGACACAGTGGTGTGCATAGACAGAGACAGAGAGCGGGGAGGCGGGGTGGGTGCTGAACACTGACGTTAGCGTCAGCGAAATGCAACATAAAATAGCATGTGCAAAGATATAAATAATCATAGTCTTCTAATGCAAAAACCAGTGATGCCAAACAGATGAACAGGTCCTGCGTCTCCGTCCTAGTGCAATTCAGCTCCACACACTGCCAAAGGCTAGAACTGCACCGGCGCAATTATTTAATTAATAATAATTCATTGCTCTCTTTTGATTAAAAATGTCTGACTTCAGAATTATTGCCACGCCATCAGTATCGGTTCATAGATGCAGATTTTTCTCCTCAAGGGTCAGATAAATGAGATGCAGACGACGCCAAATTAGACCTGGTGGTTAACAAATTCAGGATTTTGACCAAAGGAAGATTCTCAACACTAAATTACATCTGTTGTTGGAAACATTAATCTTTTTCTAACTTTGACAAACTAAAGTGAATAGTAAAAACAATGTCTCGTTTCTCTTACAAAGAAATGTGACAGTATTGGTAATCTCTAGATTAAGATTTATTTTATTTTTATGCTTAATAAGATTAGGCATTTGCTGATACCATGAGTTCCAACTCAATATTGCAGTTTCTCTGATCAGTTTGTCTTGGCAGTGGCAGACTTTTTGACCCAACTTGGGTTTCCACTGAGCGACTCCAATGCAAATCTCCACCATGGGTCAGCTAGCCAAAAGATACTACAGTGTTCTGAAAACATGTTCGCTCAACCTTGTCTGGCTTCATCATCTGTTTCTCAAGATGTGACATAACACATTCACTTGCTATCTTCCACAAACCTCCCCCGTTGGGCCCTCCCGACGATATTTTTATGCGTCGCAGTTTGTTGACGTGCTAAGCTAACGTTAGCATACTTACTCCGTGTTTTTAAACGGGCCGTGCCCAGGACGTCCCTGTCAAAACTATATCAAAAATAGTGCAGCTCATTCTGACTTCAAGAGATACAACACTACTTGTTTTATGACAATAAAATGTAAATGCAACATCAGCAATCCTTCAGAGATATTTAAGCAAAAACAGTTTCCGCAGGAAGCTCAATTTGCTGGTGCTATCTGTTTGAACGTGCTCTCGAATGGTCAGTATTTTTTTTTGCAAAGACCTAAGCGTAGGATGATCGATTTTACTCATGGAACTGGAACTATATTTCATTGAAATGGAGGTGTTGGTATCACTGGCGTTAAAAACGATTATAATGACTTGCCAACGAATGGCAAGCTTCAGGGCTCAGCTCTGGTCTCACCGGTCTGTGCACACCATTTTCTGTACATACTGTATCCGCTTCAGGTTTATTAGAACATGTGTAATTTTGTTCTCAGTCAACAGAAAAAAAGAAGAAAAAAAAAAAAATCGGCTTTTGTTGCTGTCATTTGTTTCAGTTTTCCTTCGTTGTCATTGGTATATTCTAAATACACGCTGAAAGTATCCCGTTTCCTTCTAGTTTAAATTACTGCAATGGGAAAATTCATCCCAACTTTTATACCTCTTTTTTTTGTTGTCAGTTATTCTGTTTGTTTTTCTCTCTCTCTCTCTCTATTTTTCTTTTTTTGGATAATGGAGAAAATGATAAATTGTAAATGGTGACATTATTTATACTGTAAATGGTGGTTTGCTTATATATTTATTGCATATCAAAGGATACTTCACTTGATAAGGGGCTACAAGGTATTTTAAAAGTGTAGTATGGTCATAGTGTGTGGATAGGGGATGTGCAATCAGGGGGGCAGTTTAATATTCATGGTGCTAGACCCCTACTTGCCTCGGTGCCCCCTCATCAAGCAGCATATATTGATGTATGGACATAAGATTCAGCTCAATCCAACCATCTGGTGCTTAGAACCATTTCAACACAGTTTACTAGAAATGGAATGATGTCTTTGTACTGTAACTAAGAGAACAATACAAGATTTTTTTTTTTCTTTTGTACCTTTCTTCCATTGTATGAAATGCATAATCTCGTGTGGCATTAGTGGTTTTATGATAAGCATTAGCTGTAGTTGTTAACTCTTGACACTTTTGCAGAGACTCTTAGGGATGTGACTTTTTATTGGCGTCGAGGTTCCTGGTGTCTTGTCCTCATTAGTACTATTTGGAGGATGTAACGATGCTCTTCTTTACCCCCCCCACCCCGTCCACCGCCCCCCGTCCCCCAACCTCCTTCTATTTTCACTTGTTTGATTTATGCTGCACTCACTGTTTCCAAAAGAAGTCACTTAGAAGAAAACCTGAGCCAGACCTGTCTTAATTCCTCTGTGATTTTTCTGTGACATATTGTATTGTTGTTCAAGAAATTAAAAATGTTTTGATAAACCATGCAGCAGCGACTCTATGCTTCTTATTGCCGGTTACGTTCTTCCGCCAGGTCACTTCAGCTTTGATGCTTTCATTGCTTTTTTTTTTTTTTAAAGTGATGATCATCACTTTTTTTGTGGCGTAAAGACTTTATTTTCCTCTTTAGCTAAATCTTCATCTACATTGGCGACCAAAATCATGGTCACAACTATGATGTGGCACCAGGTGGAGATGATGTCAACAACATCAAAATTCAGAAGAACCTCTTCAGCACTTGTGTATCTAGATTGGTGGTATTAGATGACGCCCTAAAATAATGTATTGCCTCCCAAAGAAAATAAAACGGACATTGATTTAACCCACATTTTAAGGTTCAAATTTCTTATGTCCCTCTGCAATGAATGCGTCCTGACATGACAATTTTGTCCCTCAACTGTAGTCGGGTCTCTATTTCCATCCAAACCAGGCAAAGTGAAGGAGCAGTCAGAACAGCTTAGAGTATCCCGTTAATCCCAATAATTACATGATATGTAATGAAGAGTATGGCAACATTTTATTAGTACGAAGGGTCCCATAAAGTTAGTTAAAGCATGGACGTTTAGCGGAGCACAAATCAAAATAAAACATGTTCTTAACTTCACATTTCTGTGTTCAAATTTCATCTCATAAGCAAATGATCTTAAACCATAAAATGCTGACCTACAAATTTCCCCACCCTCTTTCCAATGCTGTAGTTTCTAGAAATTATCTCCAGACTCTGTGGTAGAGAATTATCTAAAACTTGTTCTGAGGAGGAAAACTAATAAAGACATTAAAAAACCCACTAATGAATAGTTTTTCTGATCATTTATTCATTCATGTGCTTACAGTGATGATCTGCTACTGTAATCAAACCAGCTCATATTGCCAGGGAAAATAGAAAACACCAGCTCTTATTATCTTATTATTATTATTATTATTATTATTATTATTATTATTATTATTATTATTATTATTATTATCATTAATTATATTCCAGATTAACATTTGAGCCGAATTTTCGCAAACTAATCTTTTCATGTGTCTGTGTTGTACTTCTGTTCCGTTCTGTTCATACAGTGACCACTAGATGGCTCCACCGGAGCGGCCAGGAACTATCGCAGTTCGAGAATTTTCCACAATTTCACAGTTTATCCGTTTGGTTCAGGAATATTTTCCAAGTAAAATGTGATGAACAATTCTAATCACTGACTCAAAAGGTTTCCTCATGCGCCGCCTTGAAGTTGCCAGTCAGCACAGGGCAGTATAAATAGCAACTGTTCCAGCAATCACCCATAAACTTTACAGCTCCACAGAGAATTAAATGGGGAGTCACTTCCTCCTGTCTCACAGTTCCACGTACGAGGACGTGACTTTACCGAACCTGCAGACGCATCAGCATTGCAAAGTGGACATAACGTGAGGACAAAGCTGCGGATATCCCGACTCCAAGGACAGGAAGACTTCTCTTCCTCCACCAGCTCACTCAGAGACTGACATCCTCGCACAAACAGCACACACTGTTGACGGCCAGTATACAGACAGTCAACTGCTCCCACATCCCAACCCTGGAGCCTTAGTGTCATGGTGCCTTTTGATCATCGCTCTCTGTACCATTAAAGCACCTACTCTTATTCTCTCCAGGGTCTTTACATAACTCTCCATGTGGTAAGTAAATAAACTTAGATCTCTAAATTAAGATAAATAAAAAAAAACTTACCACTTTTACGCTTTGAACTGAGCCCATCTGATTTCTTATCAGTCCCATGACGGCTTTCTTCCCTCCTTCAGCCCCTCCGAAATTAGCCAGAGTACTCCCCCCCCATCCTCATTTCCTTATATTTGCTGAAAGCTGAGATCTGTTTTTCATCACAGGGGTCAGGGGCCAAACCTCTGCCATGCCTGCCTGTGAAACACATCTGAAGCCAGTCTGGCATATTAGCCGCTGCCCTCTTCTGTTTTTTTCGCAGAGCGGGATGTAGTTGCAGATCCTTTGATCACTGCATCGCTGCAATCAGAAATGTGCACTTCTCAATGCCTTGGCATGAAAGAGCAAAGTGAAAACCCTGCACAGTTGTTGCACTCCCACAGCAGCCTTATCAGTATCTGACAAGAGGAAAATGAGAAAGTGCTCAGGGAGAGTGTAAATGGTTATGTATTGGAAGGCCTACTCTGGACTTCTCTAATCTATCCAAATAAACACTGTTACTCCCTAAACCCCCCGCCCCCTCCGGTTCCAGGGGTTATCACAGACCCCGGTAACACCCTCCCGCCCCCCGCCACCACTGCCAACCCACCCCACCTGGGCTCCTACTGCTGCCTTTAATACAACCCCAGGCTGGTCTCACTCTGCATTTGCGCTGAAGGCAACACAGGATACAGGCTGCCCGACTCGTCTCGTATCTTAAACTGGAGGCAGAGTGAGGAAACAGCATGTCAGGGAAGGAAGCGCTGAAGCTGCTGGGAAAGCACACTTTGCTCCGACTATTCAGAGCTTGTTTCTGAGTCACTCCGTGGCAGGCCTGAGGCAGAACATAGACATTTTCTAGAACAACTGGTCAACATATGTGTAAGAAGAAAAAACAAGGAGTCAGGGATTAGAAACCCAACCTTCGTTTGTTGAACGCCCTGGAGATCTGAAGAGAGAAGGTGTAGATCAGGAGGAAATTCTCGAGACCTCTCTACGTCTGAGCTTCTCGAACGGTGAGTACAGAGGCGATGGGACACTTTCTGTATTCTGAGTTTGTTGTGGAGATGAATGACGGCATCAAAAGGCAAGCGGGAAAGCTTCTCAGTGGGGTGAAATGTGGATGTTCAAGACGAAGAGCGGGATCTGATGCTTTTTAGGTTTGTGGATCGTCAGATTTTATGTCAGTGCAAAGACGAAAACCCAAGCGTTCGATGACTGATTTAACTCTAAACCAAATGGAGAAAGCAGAGTTAGGCAGCTGATTAAACACAAGCCTGAAATTAATTATTAAACATAGTAAAATGGTTCAAATTTGTTTCACTCTTATTTTTTTTTTCTGAGACATAAAATGTGTGCAAACCGTATCTGAACAGAGAAATACTAAAATATAAAGTTTGAATGTAACTGGTGATTGGCAGTATGTTCTATTATTGTTGCTTGCGGCTCATTGTTCTTGGGTTGATGTTTATCCTGAAGTTTTTCGGTGGGTGGAGTCATCGAAGCCTATTTCCTCCCCACAAAGCGTCACGCATTTATCTGTGTTGACGTTCCGCACGTTTCATCACGCTATTTAAGAAGCAATTACTTAATGGCTCAGACCCTTCATCATCGCTTTGTATGTGTGTGTGTGCAGGAAATCAGCCAGAGAAGACTTTTTTTTTTTTGATCAAAAGAAAATGGACACGATTATCTACTGAGACTTAATCAGGAAACACAAGAGGAAACCCTTCAGCCCCTAAAGTTTTCACTTAAACAGCAACAGCTTCAGTGTCTTCCATTGGGATTTTTAAGTGATAGACAAACACATGCTGGAACTCCATTATGATCGGAAGAAAAAGAATACGGTGGAGGAATGTATTAGCTTAGGGAGTCCATGAATGGCTAAAATCAACAAAGACTTGAGAGCCCCTCTAAAAGGGCTTTTAACTGCCTGTGTTAATAGTTCAAGCAGCAGATATACCTTAATATGCATTAATGTGCACACTGGAAACTGTTTGGGTGCTCCAACAGAAACTAAAACAATAAAAAGCAATCCCTGGATTGGCTGCTTTGCTAAGCGCCTGTAAGTAGATTTACACCTAGTTGTTTCAGTTTACCAAGCTTGTATTTTCTTTGTGGAGAGTGGGAAAAAAAATTGGAACTAGCCAAATTTTCTGCCAATATTTGGAGTTATGTTACACAGAAACATCTGCAAATAGATGAATCTGCAAAAAAAAAAAAAAAAAAAAAAAGGAGAGTCATTCCACATTTCTTACAATAACAATCTGAAAGGTGTGGTGTGTATTTCCAGTCTCTTACTCTTATACCTCCGACTAACATGCAGTGCAACCAATTTCTCTCCGAAGTGGCCCTGTGTGCATATTAATCTCAATATTTTTCATTCTATAGAGTCCAACTGATGATTATTTATACATCTAAAAGTCTGCAGTTTCTGACCCTCTGATCTGGAAGAAGGCTCTTTGGTACAAAAAGACATTTTTTGGGGGGGAAACTAACACTGCACATCACCCTGAACACATCATCCCTGCTACTAAACATGGTACTTGCAGCATCATGCAGTGGGCTTTTATTCGAATTTTCTAGCAATTATTTGAAAAAAAAAAAAATCAGAAGAGATCAAAGGGTGTAAATACTTTTTTTATGTATTAATTTATTTTTTTTTAACCAGGGACTCACATTTTAAAAAAGGCTAATTTCCAACAGTGAGACAACCTGTATCATTCTTTTACATTTCCACCGATTTCCTGCAGGACACACAGCAGAGACGATGAGCCTGTCACGGAACGGGACGCTGGAAAAGACAACGTCTGAGGCCCGGCCCTCCTCCAGGGCGGGGTCGGCGCTCGTGGTGCCGCCCCCTTACGAGGCCCCGGGCGGCCCCCTGGAGCTGAGGGGGTCTCTGGACTGCTGGGCCTGCTCCGTGCTGGTGACCGCGCAGAACCTCATCATCGCGCTCATCAACGGCGGGCTGGCCAGCATCATCTTCGGCATCATCCTGACCCCGGCTCTGGTCATGATCACGTTCGGATTCCTCTGCCACTCCACAGTAAGGGCTTGAACTTAAATCGCGCAGTGACTTGTTTTGACAGAAAAGAAGAAGGTGTTTTCTGTTTTCCCAGGGATTTGATATTGTTGTCTCGGATCTCGCTGGAACTTTCTGGAGCTGAACTTTTAACGTCTTGCAGCTGTGACATGCAGCCCCAGCTTCTTCGCTCAGTGCGTTGTGGAGTGTCAAATTACACTAAAAGCAAAGCAGAAATTCCCTCGCATGTTTGCATTGACAGAATGGGAGATTTTTTTTTTTTCCGTATACCTTCATCTGCTCCTCATCTCTCCAGGTGCAGCCCCATGGAACGTCCTTGTACTGCTCAGACGACCTGCTGGACGACACCAGCTGCGTGGCTCTTCTGGTGGTGGGCTTCCTGCTGCTGACCCCTCTGCTGGTGTTGGCGCTCGCCGCCTACTGCCGCCTGGCTCGGCACCTGCAGCTCGGCATGTGCTTCATTCCCTACAGCCGCGCCGTCTACAAGAACCTGCCCACCTCGCGCCAACGAGGGCCCGGCGCAGGGGGCTGCTGTGGCCAAAAGGAAGGAAAGGAAAGGGATGGAAAGGGCAGCGTTTGGGTGTAGGAGTAGAAGATGGATGGGCAGTGTAGCTGTGAGCAAAAGTCTAATTAAATACCCCCAAAATATCTCATCCTTTGCATTGATTCTTTTTTTTCTTTTTCTTTTTTTTGCTTTTGTATTGTATTTGCATTGTGATTGTCGCGTTAACATACTGTTTATGGAAAGTGTTTTATACCTGTTTTACAATAAAATGAGCATTTATCTGCACAGCTTTGAGGTTTGTACAGATTGAGTGAGAAGGCATAGAGTTGGCTAATTTTCAACCGGTTTGGTGAAATTAGTGCTGGGCAATAAAACGATTTCATCAATTCATTCAAATTTTGGTTTATGAAGATTACATTTTTGGAAAGTCTGGATTTTATTTTTGCACCTGTGTTTCCATTGCTCAAAGTGACGTCATCAAGCCCAAGATGTATCATCTTTTTTTTTTGACAAGCACAGCCTGTTGAATTCTGGTCAACTTTACGACTGGACATTAGGGAAAGGCTACAATTTTGAAAATGTTTTCTGTCATTTATAATTTCTTGTTTAGAAGTAGGGGGGAAAAATCTATTAAAATTGGAAATTGGATCTGTTGCGGTAAAT